AAACCCTAATACCCAAACCCTAGACCCTATACATACAAATAAACATATATATATATACATATATATATATGTATATATGTATATATGTATATATGTATATATGTATATATGTATGTGTAAATTCAGGCATACAAACAGCATCGGAGCCCGCACCCGAGCCTGGAGTAGCCGGTGATCTCGACCTTGGCCTCACGCGCCTGCCAGCCGCACAGCCGCAGATTGGGTTAGGATTCAGGTTTTGGGGTTTAGGGCGCTAGGGTTCCCCCAAATTATTAGTGCCACTGGAGGAGAGCCAAATGGACCAGAACATGGAAAAGTAAATGGAAACTGGGATTATGTAGTAGCTTATAGGGATTGGAGTTTCCATAAATTAGGGGTACCTGCCTGGGGGTCCCAATAAGGAGGATTATATATTGGGGGGTCTAAATGTGGGGATCTTGGGAAACTACCATAGGGTTTGGGTACTGCTCCCACCCCAATATGGTGCAGTATTGCAGTTTAGGCTTCAGGGTCTAGGCTATTCCTGGCTTTAGGTTTTATTCTTTAAGGTGGGACCCCCTTAGGAAAAATGAGGCTTGTAGCATTCGTTCGTTTTCTGCCTTTTCCTGTACGCTACTCTCTTGGACGGGGTGTGGTAGAGAAGCCTCCAGAATCAGGCTTCATCAGGCTTAGGATTGGGCTTGTTGCAGCAAGTACATCTGCTCATGCAACCTTACTCTTCGCCAGATCGACTGGCACGATAAGCATAGAAGACATTGCGACTACTGGGGAGTGAGGGAATGGATCTACCCCTGAGCCTTGAGCCTTGTAGCCCTGAACCCTAAACGTTGAACCCTACAGGTTCAACTCCTAAGCCCTAAAACCCAAAGCCTAAGCCCTAACTCCGAGCCGTAAACCTCCCCCAAAGCTCTAAGCCTTCAAGTCCCGATCTGGCTGATCTGAAAATGCTCAGGAGGAGCTCCTAGCAGACCATCCAGGAAATGATGAAGGCCCATTTGGGGTGCAAGGTTCAGGGTCTGGATTTCCGGGTTTGGGATTCAGGGTTTAGGGTCCAGGTTTGGGGGTTTCAGCTTAGGGTTCAGGGTCTAGCTTGGATAGCTCAGGGCTTAGGGGGATGTCCCTAAGCATGGACAGCACGGGTTCCATACTAATTCTGCCAAACCTCCATGCATCCATCCGCGGGATAGAGTTAGCGCTCGGGTTTCGAGGTGAGGGAGTCTAGTGTTATGAGTTCGTGCATTAGGGTTGAAGGATGTCTGACTGAGAGGTTGCATTTGGTCCGTTTGCAAGGACTCCTCTTACTTGGGATATCTTACCCCAAGTAACATGAGATAGGGGTTATATAGGGGGAGTAGTATAGGAGTTATTAAGCGTGATACTAGGAGTCTAGACTCTGGATCACATGGAACTCCTTAAAGCCGCAGGTTTCAAATGATGCTAGTCTTTGTAGGCATTGCTTTAGATTTACATGTGGCTGTTTCTCAAAATAGGAATCCTTTTGATATAACGCCTTGTGTAGGTTCCGCCCGGAAGAAATGATTAATCCTGAAGTTGTTCAGGGGGTTGGAGCATCCTCAGCTTCAGGGGCTACACTACGATTGACTTACTGGTTCTTAGGGAATAAGGGAATATGTCATATAGGGATTACATCCCCTCATTCCTTATTAGAAACTAGGTTCAGGAGTGTGGGGTTTGGGTGGGTTTAAGGTTTAGGGCAGTTTGGGGCGTTGCGGCACTGCCATCTACATTGTAAACTCTACACCCTAAACCCCTTCTTGTAGCATGACACGCCCTGACACGGGCATATGCCCCACCCTGACGGCTTAAGCTGGGTAGACTGCAAGGGTTAAGTGTTTAGGGTGTCGGGTTTAGGGTTTAGGGGATAGCCCATGACCTAGACACTAGACCCTACACCCTGAAACCTAAAACCTATACCTTAAACCCTAGAACCCAAGCAGTAAGCCCTCACCTAGGAGAGGATGGCAGCGGTGAGGAGTTTTCGGATTGGGAGTCTGAGGCAGACGAAGGGAGAGGTTGTTCATGCAGGGAAGTCTAGGGTTGAGGTTTACGGTTCAGGGTCTGGGAGGTTTAGGCCCAATTACATGGGTGTTCCCAAAATTAGGGTCCCATTTTGGTACCCATAAATATTAGGTGCCGTAATACACCAAAAGGGGCCCATAATTTTGAGAACAACCCACATACAGCCTATAGTTTTATGAGTGATGCCTGCAGGTTTCTCCACTGCAGAGAATTGGGGTTGCAGGTGGGGTGTGCGGAGGGAGTGCTTTGTTGGTGGTTGCAGGCCAGCGATGCCCTTGAATTTATGGCGTCTCGATTAGAAGTCTCTAGTTGATGGGTTTCTCTACCCATATTCGGCGTTTACCTGCGGAACCCCTAATTCTAGACATTGCAATCTCTGCCCGACGCATGAACCTCTTCTTCTAGAACCACGAGGCCCGAAGAGCTGCAGAAATAATAGGGAAAGCTGTTACTAGTATCATCGACAACGCCTGGTTAAGGGCCCATACAAGGGGCGCATGGTTTCAACCTTAGACAACGGCACTGACCCAAGGCATCCAAGTCTGACCTAGAGAAGGGGGCGTCCTGCACCGCAGAAGGGCTCGCTGGTCACTGCTGCTTACCGGTGATTAGCAACGGTTAGTGCGGCATGGAGGAATGGACCCAAACAGTAGTTTATACACATATATACACTTACACACATACATGCATATACATGTATTCTTGAGCATCTATGTCCACTGTACAGTACTCATAATCCCTTAGTTCTATTCCTTCCTTCATCACTAGCCACCAGTGAGGCTCCGACGGCTTCAAGCAGAGTGGCCTGGCCATACTCGTGCAAAGTCCTCCAGACACCAGCCCTCCTCTGGGTGAGGTTGAAAGTGGCGTTCGAGCAGAAGAGGAGACGGAGGAGACAGACCCAGGTCATTTCATACTCTCAAATTCTGTCTCAGCTGAAGTGCAGAAGATTGAGGCTGTTGTGGTATCCAGTACAGCCGCAGCTGATGCAACCGCTGCCACGGAAGCCCCATCCACAGACCTCATGTCCCGCATGATGGGTGGGCTTCCTAGTTGGGGCATGTTTTCTGCAGCTGAGTCAGAGGACGAAGTTCACAATGCATGGGGCGAACAAGACAGCGAGGAAATGTTGGGCCAACGGGCTCTGGAACTGCATCAAGCCAGAGGTATAGAGCTCCCCGGCGTCCCAATTGAGACGTCGGCTCAGGCAAGGCTAGCCAAGAGAAAGCAGAAGGCAAAGGCACAGGCGAAACGGAAAGCGCATCTAGAAGTCACCAATGCTGAGGCCACAGGAAGCCATCTGTTTGCTGGCACATCCAGCATGATGTCCATGCTCAGCAACTTCACTAGCATGGGGCGAGCCGTATCTTCGAATGCTGACGAGGAGGAGGTCCACAATGCTTGGGGCGATGATACAGATTCCAAGCTAGTAGAAAGAGCTGCAGAACTTGAGCAGGCACGGGGCATTGTTGTTCCCATGCCCCAAGTCCAGTCGACGGGGCGTGAGAGGCTTGCCAAGCGCAGACAGAAGGCACAGAAGCAGAACAA